GCACCACTGTCTCAACTCACTTCCTCTAAGATAACTTTTTCTTGGACCCCAGAGGCAGAGAAGGCATTTTGTGCCCTCAAGGAACGCTTTGCTTCGGCCCCAATCCTGGTTCACCCCGACGAGACCCGCCAGTTTGTCGTCGAGGTTGACGCTTCTGACACCGGCGTTGGAGCTGTACTATCCCAGCGTCCGACTCTAAACTCCATCCGTGTGCTTTCTTCTCCCGCAGACTTTCCCCGGCGGAGAGGAACTATGACGTGGGCAACCGTGAACTGTTGGCAGTCAAGTTGGCCTTGGAGGAGTGGAGGCACTGGTTGGAGGGAGCGATGGTCCCTTTTGTGGTATGGACCGACCACCGGAATTTGGAATATATCCATACGGCCCGACGTCTCAACTCACGCCAGGCCCGCTGGGCTTTGTTTTTTGCCCGTTTTAATTTCACACTCACCTATCGACCTGGACACAAGAACACCAAGCCGGACGCCCTCTCCCGTCAGTTTGCCCCTGAGGGCGACTCAAGTCCTGACACCATCCTTCCCGCCTCGTGCATTCTCGGAGCTGTTACCTGGGAAATAGAGAGAGTGGTACACGAAGCCCAGAACGCCCAACCTGACCCAGGAGGGGGTCCACCGAATTGCCTGTTTGTTCCTGCGCCCGTCCGTTCCCAGGTCCTGAGGTGGGCCCATGAGTCCCGCCTCTCTGGTCATCCCGGCATCCGTCGGACTATACATTGGCTTCGCCGCAAGTTTTGGTGGCCATCCCTTGAGGAGGACGCCCGTGCTTATGTGTTGGCCTGCACTACCTGTGCCCGCAACAAAGCATCACACCGACCCCCGATGGGATTGCTGCGACCACTCCCTGTGCCCCAACGTCCGTGGTCACACGTTGCATTGGACTTTGTGACCGGTTTCCCTCCATCAGACGGCAACACAGTCATTCTGACAGTGGTGGACCGTTTTTCGAAGGCGGCTCACTTCCTACCCCTGCCCAAGCTTCCATCAGCCCGTGAGACCGCCGATTTACTGGTTCAGCATGTCGTTCGGCTCCATGGCATCCCTGCGGACATAGTTTCTGACCGTGGCCCGCAGTTCTCGTCCCAGCTTTGGAAGGCGTTCTGTCACACCCTCGGTGCCACGGCCAGCCTATCCTCGGGATTCCACCCCCAAACTAATGGCCAGACTGAAAGGCTGAACCAGGAGCTCGAGGCCATCCTCAGGTGTGTGATCTCTAACAATCCCTCCTCGTGGAGCCGTCACCTCCCATGGGTCGAGTACGCCCACAATTCTCATACGTCAACGGCCACTGGACTGTCCCCATTTGAGGCCTCCTTGGGTTATCAGCCTCCCCTGTTCCCCAGCCAGGAAGTTGAGGTTGCTGTGCCATCGGTCTTGAGCAATGCCCGTCGTTGTAGGCGGATCTGGAAAGCTACTCGGACCGCTTTGCTTCGCACGGTGGAGCAGAACAGGAGGGTGGCAAACAGACGACGCGCCCCCGCCCCTGCCTACCGCATCGGCCAGTCTGTCTGGCTTTCGTCCAGGGACATCCCCCTACGCACAGAGTCTAGGAAGCTCTCTCCGAGATATATCGGCCCCTTCCCGATCATCTCCATCATCAACCCAGTCTCTGTGAAATTGCAATTGCCGCGATCCTTGAGGATTCACCCAGTATTCCATGTCTCCCTCCTTAAACCAGTTGTCTCCAGCCCCCTCAACCCTCCTCCGGAACCCCCTCCACCCGCCCGTCTCGTCGAGGGAGGGCCCGTCTACACAGTCAATCGCCTCCTGGATGTGCGCCGCCGAGGCAGAGGGCATCAGTACCTGGTGGACTGGCAGGGTTATGGACCAGAGGAGCGTTGCTGGGTGCCCCGTTCCCGGATCTTGGATCCGGGGCTCATTAGGGATTACCGCCGTCGGAACCCTGACTGTCTAAACGGTTCGCCGAGAGGCTCCCGTTGAGGGGGGGGTACTGTTAGGGACCCGGTTTTATTAACAGTTTTTCCCCCCCAGTCTGTGCTTTTGTTTTGTTTCTTCCACCTATAGT